ACATTTCAACAGAGTTTAGGAGAAAAAAAATCCACTTGAAGTGGGGAACTTATAATCAGCATTATTTTATAATACTTTATATTCAAAGTATAACTTTAATTAACAGATGTAAATTTTATTATTCATACAGCATTGGACCAGATGGCCTAATTAAAGTGAATGATTTTACAAAGAATCCTCGTGTCAAGCTGGAGTAAGTGGCACAACTTTTCCATGACTCTAACGAAGAAGGATGAAAAAACACACATACCACAGATATCCCCATCACCAGCAGAGTTCTCAATGTCTTGCCTTTTTTTTTTTTTTTTTTTTTNTTTTTTTTTTTTTTTTTTTTTGTCTCTGTGAATAAATGTGATCAAGTCAACCAGAAGGTATATGTGTGAATTAAGAGGAACTGCATGAAAGAGAATATTTTCCTGAATCGTTGTTTAGACAGGACTTGAATTGTTATGTAAAATGACATTTCAATATTATTACTGTTATGTCAAGGTGATTGTAAGCTAAGTGGCTGTCCTTGTCTTCTGCATAAACTGCCATACTTTGTATGAAATTGACAGAATGAGAAAAAATCTGGAGTCAAGTTACTCCATCATTTAACCATATAAAAATATACCATAAAGCCATATAAAGTAAACACCTTTTCTCTGAGTGCCTTCTGTCATCTGCAGACATACTTGTCAAGGAATGCGTGTATGTTCTCCTCAAAATGAGAACCCAGGACATGCATCCCCTCATACTGCACTTGTGTCATCTCTCTTCAATAAATAGTTATGTACTGCCATTAAAATTTTTCTTTTGACCAAATGAAAGGATTTTCTGTTATGGAGGTTTCTGCATTTCCCACTTCACAACAACCACCTCTGTCCATGAATTGCATAGTGAACCTTGTGCCTATCTCAGGATTCCGCTCTGCAGAAAACTCAAAAAATGAGTTTTACAGTTCTGAATATAAGGCTGTTTTATGGACTTACCTGTCAGGGATTCTCTTAAATGACTTTGCTACAAGTATCTCAAGTCTGTAATTTTTTCTCTCCTAAAAAGATGGAGGCACACGGTGACTTCTCTCTCCTTAATGGAATTCCTGTTTACTCCCTCAAAAAGTACACAATACGGAAGCAACCCATTGGAAATTAGATACTGAGCCTTTTAGCAGAGCCCCAGAATCTATTCACATCCTTGATATTAATGCCATTTATAATAAACACTTCATTATAACTACTAATCATTTAATTTGCTTCCTTGTGAAAAGGAAATTTGAGGAATAAATCAGAATGGTACATAGGAAAAGCAGATTCCCTATCTATGCAAAAGACACTGAAGCAATCTTGATCATAAGAAAATAAAATGTTGGGACGCTGGAAGTTGTCATAGAGTTTGCTTTTGCACTCCTGTCATACAATGTTCTGAGAAATAAAGCACAGCCTCAGATACATCCCAAATTTTGCCACTGCAAAAGCCTAGGAATATTAAATATCTAACAAAAAGCAAGAAAATTGGGAATTTGTTTAATGGAAGACAATGCCATTTCATTTTCTCTCCGAAACAAAGCTTAATCATGGGTATGAATAAATAATATGACAGCACATGCATCACATGACATTGAAGTATTTCAGCGTGTAGGACAGAGAAGTTTTTTTATCATACTTTTACAATAATAGCAGAAAGGATTTTCCAAATTGCTTCAGTGAAGGAATTCAATAGCAGAAATAATATCTACACCTTCTCATACTCAAATCTATGCTCATTTCTACTAAATCTTGTAGTCTTTATCACTAACTCTTATAGTCTTATCACAAGCCTCATGACAACTGATTTTTTTTTTAAGGATTGACTACTTGGAGGTGTGTGATCTCATAAGAATTTTATTTAACTTTTTAAGCAATTTTCTCATTTTTTTAAATTATAAGACATTTTTGCAATTTCATGATTTTAAAATGATTCAGTAGACAAGAATATATCTTTCTAAGCTTCCTTTTGACAAAAAAAATGAAGTATGATTCTATATGTCACCAAATAATATGTTAAAGAAAAAAAATGAGATTATGGTTTGAATAACATGCCTTTTTTATTTTTAAGCTGCTAGCTGTTGTTAAAAAACCTAAGATAATTCTTCCTTAATTCTTAAAATTGGTGCATTAATGTTTCAGCTCAATGAGGATTCTCTTGTAAAGTGTCATAACACCCCTTAAGAAGAGACAGTACACCAATAGTTCTGGACACTGTGTCAGTAATAGATGCACATCTTCTTTGCACATAAATCTTTTTTATTGTTGTTTCTTTCTAGTCTACACTTCTCTCTTCAGCACAAACAAAAAAGGGAATTTTGCTGTCTGCTGTTTTCCAGCTACAGTGCTTTTCCGATTTTTAATTTTGCCAAGAACATAAAAATTGGACCAGACTTCTGATTCCTTTGAGAAAACCCTTTTACCTGTTTTGACATGATAAATATCTTCCCAACATGTTTTGTTGTGCAAGTTCAGCGCAGTTTCAATGTAAATGTTAATGTAGCAATACATAATAATGACACAATTTACATATTTGGACAGTAGAGAACATGTTGAATATTTATATGCACTTCTGCTATGGTACTCTTAATAGTAAGGCAACTACATTTTCAGCATGAGTAAATATAATTGCTTTCAATGCAAAGTCTCCAGAAAGTCTATTTAATCAGCAAATAAAAGCAAATTTATGTGGAATACTAATATGCTAGTCAGCTACAATACCTACCTGGTGTTYGGAAAATAATTCCTCTTTCATCACAATTCATTAATAAAGTGTACAACCATCACCCTTCCTAAATATGATGGTATATGAATGAAAAACACTCAACAAATTACTTACCCAAACACAGAGGGGCTTCTGGTCTTGCCCCTGTTTTATGGGTAGCCTTCTCACTTCCCCAGGTATATTCTCTTTTCCTAAAAAGAAATTTTAACAAGGTGGTTTTTGAGGTTGTTTTTACACTTGTCTAAGCATTGTGGACATACGACTAGAAGCAAACTAAATAGGGCAAAAAGAATTCAATGTGCATGTAGAAGCATGAGAATAAATGTATGAACACATATCGTATTGCAGCACACATATAGAAGAAGTATAAAAAACGTATCTGTCTAGGAAAGCACCATTTGCTTTTGTTCACCCCAGTTTTGAACATTTGCTGGCCTGTTTTCCATTGCCTGTACTTACTTGACATGACACCTCTGTTCAGYTACAACATAACCCTCTCTCACCATCCATATGAAAACTCCCACCAAAATATTCTGCTTATAAAGCACATGTATTTTTCAAAATGGATGTGAAATAATTCTTAGAACTTTCTCTACTTTAAAAAATAATAATTCTTTAAACTCCAAAGAGAAGAGACCAGGTCCATGAATATATGTGATTAAATGATTTAAAGCATTACCTAAAGTATGGGCACAAGGAGTGAAAAGTAGATTATCTATGTTCAAATTCCACCTGTCCTACTCTTTCCATCTCCCAGTTTGTTTAATGTATTCCAATACAGTRAAAATATCATATATTGTCACTCACTACCTATGCAAAGAGAGGAAGCCTTTTGTTTGATGATCTCCAAGATTAAGTGACTCATTTTGATGACTGTATCTCGTGTCAAATACTGCTGAGTTTTCTGCAGTATTTTTCTCTCTTGTACAGATGTACATCATTTGACACTCCACACTGGGTACACTGGCTATCCTTTACACCCCATGTASGCAAGTGTTTCACAGGGCTATTGGAGATGGTTTCACACTAGCTAAAAGAAACAGAGCAAGGGTGCAAAAAGCTGCTGGTTCGACCATACTTAGAAAAGTCAGTGTTTCAYTCTGGCTTCCCACCACCCTGCTTACCATTTATTCCTCTCAGATTTTGCAGGATGGAGACAAGGCCTATAGAGCAGCTCTGTGAACCTTTCCCYGCCCAGACATCTCACTTTCCCTTGAGAATGGTTCATCCACCCACAAGACTCATTTTTCAAACTAAGTTCAAACTCCTGCCTCGTGCAACCTGCTGCTTGTCAAGGGTCTATGGTGGCTTAGACAAGTACCGAGGCTGCTCCCAGGGGTAGGCCAGAATGGGGAGGGAAGCAAGAGCAGAGCGTCGAGCAGCCGCCAACGGTCGCAACGGCTCCAACGGTCGTAACGGTCACAAGATCACGCGCTCCCTCAGCGCCCCATTGGTCTCGCCCCTTCTCCCCTCTCCCCTCCGATTGGCTCCCCGGCGATCCCTCTCGGCCAATCCCTGACCGGGCCCCGTAGCACGGCCCTTCCGCCCTCCCGCGCGGGCTGCCGCCGGCGCGGGAAGAGCCGGGACGGCGGGGCGGTACCGGGCTGCCGCTAGCCCCGCCCCTTTCCTAACGGCCGAGCCGCGCCGCCTCCTCATTGGCCGGCGAGGGGCGCGTGCCCGCCCCCTCTCTACGGGCGGGAGCTGAAGCGGCGGCCGAGGCGGCGGCGCGCGGCCTCCCGCGCGGGGCTATGGCGAGGCCGGGAGCGCCGCGGCCCTGCAAGGTGCGGGCGGAGGCAGAGGCGCCGCCGGAGGGTTGCGTGGCGGGGAGGCGGTGTCATTTACAGCCCCGTTTGTCCGGAGCTCCAGCCTTTCTCCTCGCGGAGCTCTTTAGGCGGCGGGGGAAGAGGGGAGGTGGCGGCGCGGCCTTCGCGTCGCCGTTGCCGGGGGCAGCCTCTGGGTGGGCGCCGCGGTCGCTGCGTTTGCCTCGCTTCCCAGCCGGTTTGTATCGGCCGGGTGCGGTGCAGCGAGTGCTTTCCCTTCGGGCGTGCTCCAGCTCGCAGCATCGGCGCCTTGCTGAGTATTTGAGCGGCTTGTGCCTMAATTCCCCCTGTGCAGGTGCGTGCTCTCCTTTGGAATGGAAGCAAAGAGCCGGGACGGCTCGGGCTGGGCTTTGCTTTCTGCGTTAGCCCTGGGCCTGGCGGTGCCATTTCCATGTTGTGAGTTGTGCTGGAGAGGCTCGGCGTGCAGGGTGAAAGAGGCCCATTTGGGTCATGGTGGTTGTGGTGCAACCCTTGGGTGCCCAGGACTGCAAGTTACGGTTAGCCCTGTCCCCAAAGCTGTTCTTGAAATGAGTGGTTATGGTGTCCCTCAGTTAGCCCTTGGGAATATTTCATGGAGGTGAAAGCTGTTTCTCTCATCAGCAGGTGCTGTCTTCTGGGAGACTAACAGGAGCGGCCAAGCTAACAAACGGACAAAACCAGTAAGACATTCATCATGAGCGCCCACGAGGGTGCTGGGGACCCCATAYGTGCCATACCTCACAGCTATCCAAAAACTCTTTATGGGTATTGGAAAGGCTGTTGGTGGGAAGGCCCTGCAGCTGCGTAGCCCAGGAATAAGCAAGACTCAAAGTGAATTGCAGTTCTGCTTGTATAAGCACAGAGTTGGCTGTTTATGCCGTATGTTTATTTAGAAAAGTTTGAATGTGTATAGAGGCTAGGCTAATGTGAGACTTCTGAGTCAAGACCGAATCCTCCTTTGACATAAACTGTTAATATCTGCTAAATACATTTGTTGCAGCTATACAGATGGAGTTTGCAAAAAGGGAAGGTATTTTGTTTCTTGATAGAAGACAATTCTTGTTTTCTTGTCTTTTTTTTTTTTTTTTTTTTAAGTTTGCTATTGTAGAATAAACCTAACTTTTTTAACTTTGCTTATTAGGGAAATATAGTATGAACAATGACCTAATTTCTATTTTTTTTTTCAGGTTAGGCTTAAGAAAAGGCTATCATTCTGATGCAGAGTCTGGATACTCTCTGTATTCTACTGACTCTGAAGATCAGGTAACTATTGACTGTTTAATACCGTCATCTCCTAATTTAGACAGAAAGGATTATCTTGAATAATAAAGGAAGAATAAGATAATTCAGGGAGTACTGCATTTGGGCTAAAAATAGCTCTTGCAAAGTCAGCTGAAGTGTTTGAACTACATAATGAATGCACATGTTGGTTGGCTTAATGAATTTGGCTCTAAAGGATCTTATTACAGGGTCTGTTTTATGAACAGAGCTTTGCTGCTCACAAGGTAGAGCTGGTCCTGGCAGAAGCACAGACACAGTTGTGAGGTGTTGTGTCAAAAATAAGTGACACAGGGTTCATGCTGCTGTTTTTATGCAGGATTGAGTCAGTTTATCTCCARACTAGTGATATCCTGCACATAATAGTTTGGCTGTTCAATCAATAACAATAAAAACCACACATGCACAATTACAAAACAAAATCCATCAAACCTATGTACATGCAACAGCACAAGTGTTTTGGCAAAAATATAAGCTTTTGCAAAGTAATATATGAGTAAAATAATATCTTTTGTTCATTATAGTTTTTTAGAAGACAATGTGAGAAACAGTACTTTCTAAAATAATATATTACTTTTTAGTAAAAGTGGTACTTATTTCTAACTGCAGTATTCTTTATGCAGGTTGATACTATTCATAATGGACTTGACCGTTGTGCAGCTTTACTGCAGAATATTTTACAAAATGAGACTACAGGTTGTACCTATTAAAAATTTAAGTTATATTTTTAGTTTTCTGTAAGACTGCTTAAATTTGTTGACTGGCTTTTTATTTAAATTATTTTAGTTAGAGAGAATAATCGTAAACAACCTGGGAGAACCACTTGTGTTAAAACAGTTTCCAAGCCATTTATAACCAAAGGAAATATTTCCAAGAAGAAAGGGTTGAAAAAACATAATGTTGCTGCACATGTGCAAAAAGAAATCAGTAAGTGGATTTTAATGTTTGKTTTTTTTCTGAATATTAATTTATACTACTTTCCCTCCCTGTCCACTCCACTTTCTTTCTGTGAGGTACAATCTGAGAGACATAATGCAGAACTTCTACAGGCAGGAATTGCAGACTAGTATGTAGTAGAATGCTTATTTAGGGAATTGCTGAAGTGGGACATATAGGTAATGTATCTCTAGCACTGTAAAAATACAATGGTTTTAATTATAATCAGCAGGAGAAATTTAGGTTAGGAGTATGCTGTATTTTGGTTATTGCCAATGGTCCTAAAGGACTAGGGAGCAGCTAAGCAGAGACTTTAAGAATGGTGTTTTTTAAATTGATCTTCTGTAGGAGTCAGTCTCCACCTTTCCTTCAAGAACAGCACTCTATCCATCTTGTGTTAAAAGGAGGAAATGGAACATGGTTTTCTTTGCTGCCAGATAAATACCCAATTGTAATCTTAGATGATAGAGTTTTTGGTTGTTTTTTTTTATTGTTGTTCAAAAGACTATACTTGCAGAATCTGCCTGATAACACTCTAGGTTTATGTACATCAAGCAGAGGGACACATTCAGCTGTTGCGATTTTTCTTCTTTCAGTAGTGCCAGTATCAAGTAGGAAGCAGGCCTCATCCACCACCCCTGCCACTGATAAGGAGCTTTGTAATGCACCCCAGAATCAGCTGGTTGAACCAATTCATGTGCCTTGCAGTCAACACTCTCCTGTTATGCACCAAAAATTATGTGAACATGTGCAGACTCAGATGGCTCTGATAACTGGCCAACCCTCACAAGCCAGTAATGAAATTCCTACTACAAGTCCTTATTTTGCCTCAAATCCTGGTTAGTGAAAACAGTACTTTTGAGCTTGCCCTCTTTAATGCAGATTGCCCAGATCTGTGACAACATTCCTTCCTTTCATTTCAGGTTGTCAAAATGTTGCAGCTCTTAATTATCGGTTATCTACCTCCACACCAGCTCTGTCCCTGCAGCATTCAGCTAATCCTTTATCTTCTCAGTCTGTAAGTAAAAGCTTGATTTGGACTCTTAATAAAATTTACAATTAACACTGCCTTGTTAGTTATATTTAAATATACAGGTTTTTTTAAGGAAGAAAAAATTGCATCTCTCAACTTATAGTAATGAATGGAATAGATAATGACAGAAAATACTGCTGGGTAAAATATATTTTATGTGGAGATGAAGAAATGATGTTAGGAGCATTTCTACTGGCTGTGTTTATCTTTTTTTTTTTTTCCTCTCTCTACTGTGAATTCTCTACTGGCAGCAGTCATAGGTGCAGAAAGTTACTCACTAATATTAATAGTTACATTCTCAACAATGTGTTTTAGGATCATTAACCAACTCCTGACTAAAGAAATCATATTCTTCATGCAGTTGTAAGCTATACCCTGCCAGCAATCAAGTTTTTACAGATAGTTTGTAGCATCTTAGAGCCACTTTTTAAAATACTTATGTATTTCAGGGTAAAAATAAAACTAATGGAGAGTACCAACTGCCACCTTGGGAAGTGTGGTAAAGGGCTTTCACCTTGAGACTGTAGACTTACCTTCTATCTGCAGGCAGTCCATGTATAGTTAGCACTTTCCTTCACTTTTAAGAAATTCATCTACTTAAATTATTGAAAGGTAACAGTGTTTTGTTGTTGTTTTTTTTCCTCCTTCCCTGTTCTGGTTTAATTCAATTAATGAGTACTTATAACTATGCTTTAATTCTGCCAATAACTTTTAGGGTGAAGATAATCAAAACTAGATTTACATCTGAATTTGTAAATTGGGAAATAATGCACATAAGTCAGAACTCTAGGTTTTTTATATCTATATATATATAGTATATATGACTAAGACTATGTTGAATGACACAAATTTTCTTAACACTTAAACTCCCTGTTAACCTTTTGCTTAATGTTAATATTCATCTAGGGTGTTTCTGCAGATAATAACCCTGRAAGTATGCCCCAGATGGGAGGAACTGTGGTTTGCCCGGTAGTTTCTGCTCCCGCTACCACTACTGCACAAACTCAGGCTGCCACTGCTCTTCCTGATCAGATGCCTTGCCCAGTATCAGGTGTACCAAGTACCTCTACAGTGTCTACATTCGTCCCATCATTATCTGGCAAAGATACCACTCTAAACCAAGAGCACTGGATCAAGGAAGCAGATCTGATAAGATGYATACAAGCTCACCTGGCCTTGTTGCAACCACATGGAAAGAACAGGACTGAACAAAAGCAGCAGCAGCAATGTCCAGCACAACCTAATGTCTCAAAGAATAAGGAAGAGGACRTCTCTGAAGAACAAAGTGGGGATGCTACTAGTGAAGAAGAGGAACTGAGTGTACTTGATGTTGCCCCTGTGAGAGAGACAAGCTGTCAGAAAAGTTTTGGCAGGAAAGTTCTAAAACCTAAAAGAGAAAGTCCAGAAAAAACAGCCCATAAAATTAGAACAGTAAAATATCTTTTGGGGGAGCTCAGAGCCCTGGTAGCAGACCAAGGTAAAGACATTTTCATTGAGCAGTAGAGTGATTATGTGCAAATAATACAAACTATGTGAAAGGAATGAGCAGTCTTCAATTTCTGGAAGTTATGTGTGTCAGATATGTGACATCTTGGAGTGGCTTTCAACAGCTTTGTTTTTAACAGTTTTATGTTACAATGTGAATAAGAATTAAATGATCAGAACCGCTAGGACAAAGATCAGAACCACTAGGGCATTTCACACACAAGGTTGTCCCAGCAATTTCTTTGGGAAGCAGGTTAGGGAGATTTCTTCGGCCAAGTTTTACTGGAATGCTGATCAGTGATGATTTATCAAGCACAGTCAAGCTTTTAAGTTTTGAATTAGTAAAGATAGGCTGTCGAAATCAAGACTTTTTTGTTTAAAAGTATAAATACTAYTGCATCATTTTATTACATTTTTTCTGTTTTTTTCTTTTGCAGATGATTCAGAAATGTTAAGGTTGATGAGTGAGATAGAAGACTGTATATCATTGCTTCCAGCTGTAGTGGGAAGTACAAATATACAAGCTGAAATAGCACTAGCTCTACAGCCTCTTAGAAGTGAAAATGCCCAACTGCGTAGGTTAGTAACTGTTCAATAATTCTGTATTTTACTCCACAACATCTTTAACTGAAGTGTTCTAAACTGCATATTCTTGTATATGTTGTAACCTTTGTCATTCTGTTCTTTGTGCAGTATTTATAGATTGCCAGGTGCATTGATGTAGCTATATAGATTGAAAAAATACTTGCAAAAGAACTGAAAGAAGATTTCAATTAATTTTAGTAGTATCGTTTTTGTCAAATCGTGGTCAAAAGTGAGAAGGAGCTAGTCATAAGGCCTCTGCCAAACTTGCATAAATCTGACTGCGTTCCCCCTGCAAGATGGCAGTCATACTAACTGTTTTACAAAAGTATTTCCTAGCTTAATGCTTTCTTGTCAGGTGTTGTGAGAGTCTATTTAGAATACTTTGCCATCTCTTCCATGATTGCTCCCTTTTCTAAGTGGGRCATTGTGGCTGAAAACCTTATTTACACTTCTCTAAAGCAAAAATGGAGCTCCTCTTAGAAGACCTCTCAAATGTATAGCTGTGTAGCACTTCAGCAGAGGGCAGTATGCCTAACAGAACATGCAGAGGGTTCTCGTCTACTGAAGRAAGACAGGAATGTAGGAAAATGTCTTATTAAAACTTCTAAGTACTTCTAAATATTTAACTTTGTGTATTTCTAAAATATTTCTATCTTACATTTCTCAAATTTCCATGTGTTTCTAAAGTTTCTATATTTCTCTTAATATACGTTTTTTCCAAACTAATACAAAATGTGGTGGGTTTGAACATACTCTGAMCACTCTGAATATCTCTTCACATTTAGGAGAATAAGAACATTAAACCAGCAACTCAGGGAACGAGAGAGAAATGAGAAGACATCTGGACAGAACTGCAACTATGAATGTAAAGTACTAATAAAGATTGTTTGTAGGAGCATTTTGTGCTAAGGTTCAAATACAAATACATAAATGTATAGATGCATTTGTGTATTAGATATTTAAATAATAAGTGTGTATTCATACTGTCACTGTCTTTTAGTGACAGCTGGTGTGATACAGGTGTCATCATGCACCTGGATCTATAGGCATGGATGTTGTGCCTGTTTAAAACTTCAGAGACCCTGAGAATCAGATGTTAAACTGCAGAGCAGCTTAGTTTTATCCCTCTTAAAAGGTGAAGATTCCTCTTGAAACAAGGATACCATGCTAGATATCTAAGATAGAAGCTTATTTTATACTTATATTAAAACAAAACTTTTTTATCTCTAAGCCAAAGTCCTATTACCAAGTTTATTTAAGAACTTAAATCTATGTAGAAATCCTTAAATTGTAGACTAAACACCTAAACTTTCTTTGTTTTTCTCTTGGCAGTAGTTTCTCTGCAGTCCCTGAATATGATGCTCCAGAGTCAATTGAAAGAGTCACTAAAAGGCCTTGAGTCACTGCAAGCTAAAAATGAAGAGCTATTTAAAATAATAGAAAGTCAAAAAGAAGAAAATAAACATGTTGCAAAAAGTATTCAAGAGAAAGATAAAGAATTGCTTGAAAACAAGCAGCAATATGATATTCATGCCACCAAGCTTAAGATTGGTATGTGTTTTGAATGTAGTTATTCTTCATTCAATATTTTTAAATGTAATAGAAATTAACTAAGTTCTGCTTGGCATTTTAGAAGTAGAAGAAGCACTAGCAAATGTGAAGAGCCTTCAGTTTAAGCTGGAAGCTTCAGAGAAAGAAAATCAGATTTTGGGCATAACACTTCGTCAGCGTGATGCAGAAGTTAACAGACTGCGTGAGTTAACCAGGTACTGCTAAGATTTTTTTTTTTGTCTTGATGTCACTTTTTTGTAATCTTAATACTACACCAGCATCATATGGGCCAAAATCTCTTTGTATTTTTGTTACAATAGTACTTCGATAGTTCTCCAGTGCTCTGTAGAGTTTTGTTGTACAGTCTTTTGTTACCGGATGTAGTTTACGCAAACTTTTAGCTCTCGTAGCAGCCCTGCCAGTAAGGAGCTCCCTTAAAAGTGGATGGATCTGAAAATAGATATTTGAAGCTGTAGCATGTGGAGACTAGCTCCTTATTTAATTAAGGAGGTTTCCTTATATTGGCTTAGAAATCRCTCCCTATGAAAAGAGCTTGCAGAGCAGTCTGTCTTCAGGACTCCAAGACAGCTCTGCCTTTAGGACTGAGCAGTCCAGTCCTTGGAAGCAAATGACACCAAGATATTATTTACAGGTGTAGGTGGGAGCTTTTGGGCCACTGAATTAAGGTAGCATTACTCAAATTTTGCAGAACTACTCTGTATTGTCTCTTACATGTATGCTGAGAAGTAGGGAAGCTTATGGGGCCTTTGGATATGCAAAACTATGCATAAAATTTGTTTGTACATTACAAGTGCAAGAGGTTGAGAAATGTTCTGTTATTTATAGTTGATAGTGATTTGAATGACACAATATTTTAATTGGCACATCGTTCTCTTAGAAATGTCTATTCGTTCCACTTTTCGGTGACTATTAAATATTGACCACTAGATGGTAGTATAATATCCTATAACATGGATTTTACATATGCTATATACATAAACATTAAATCTTTGAGTTTTTTTGCTACAGAAGATAAAAAAAAAAATTTCAATGGTATTTTTATTTCTTCTATTGAATACATTCCTTAGATACAGTAAGAAAATAATTTGGAAAAGTTTTCTATAGGCTTTGTATTTGACAGCTTCCTACAGACAAATTATTTTATTTTGTAGTACTCAAAGCAGCTCAATCCAGGATAATTTCAAAAATTGTATTGTGCTCTTACAGGCACTTCACATTTATATTAGGATCTTGTACCATCATATTCGCTTATGTATACTTATAACTTCACTGCAGTCTAGTTAAAGCTGATTGTGGGATTTCTATAAATGTTTTTGAAAAGCAATTGCTAAATCAAGTAACTTGATGAATTGACCTTAACAGAACCTTGCAGGGCAGCATGGCCAAGCTTCTGTCTGACCTCACAGTGGACAATATCAGACCTAAGCCTGACAAAGGTCTCTCGAGATCTCTTTTGGAAGACTATGAGAAACAGATGCAGTCTGATCCATTTCCTGTGAGTACTTCAGTAATGGCTTATCTTAAAAAATTAGACACTGATCATAATTTGACAGATACAGAGCCTCAGTTCTCCAACAAAAGCAGGGAATTGGAAGAGCCGCCTCTGGCCTATGGAAAGTGTGCTGCTGAAGGAACCAAAATAAACAGTACATTCTCAGAAGAAGAAACTGGGGCTCCAAGAGTCTTACCAGCCTTACTGGAGCAAGATAGAGAAACACTGAGTGATTCTGTGACTTTATTAGACAACCAAAACAAATTGGATGAGACTATTTATATTCCATTAACTAGCAGTGCCTCTAAAAAACATCTGCCAGTCTCTGAGAGAACTGGCATGGAACCCCAAAGCAGAGGGGCTTCTAAGACGTTGGAATTCAACTATGAGCTCTCAAACTCTGAGCAGCGGAGTGGGTGTGAGGTGTCAAAGGACTCCCCTCTTTTGGATAAACTAAATGTTGGATACAGTTTGAAAAGGGCCATAGAAAACTCACTTGAAGCTATAGGGAATACAGTAAAGCTGGAAGAAGACAAAATGCAAACACGGTCAGAAGACATTCCGAGTAGAGCAGCAAAAGACTTTACAGACAAACCAGACCAGCCTCAGTCTGGTACATACCATTGTGTTCCAGTGCCCTTTCACAAAGAGAGTTCTAGGAAAAGAGGCAGTGAAATATCTGATGTTTCATTTGATGATGTGTCGGGAAGGTCTGAATGGAGTGCATCTTCCTTCTCAACCTTCACTTCTCGCGATGAAGAGGACTTTAAGAATGGCTTAGCAGCCTTGGATGCCAACATAGCTAGGTTGCAAAGAACCCTGCAAAATAGCATTATGAAACAATAAGTATGAAGAAAGAAAAGGGTGTGTACTTGTTTGGGTAACTAGTTTTTTCTAAAGTATATTAATAAGTATGGTGCTAATCTTAATATTTGTATTTTTTGTATGATGACTAACTCCTAGCTGTTTAAATTATGAAAGGAATTTGTTCCTTATTAAGTTGTGGTGCTGCTTCCCTTGATGTGTACAACTTCAAATAACTGGTTAAAATACCTTTATCTAAATTATTGAGTTAGCTTTATACTCTAATTGCAAAATTGCAAAATTAATTCTTAGCACAGCATTTGATAACTTTTTAAGAAACTGATGTGCTGTTGGCGATTTGGTTTTTATATTAAATGATGCATATTCATATTTGTTTTCTTCTCTGTGCTTTTCAAAGTAGTAAGAGCAGCATTAAGATGCATTTGATCTCAGTTACAGATATGCTGAAGTATAGAGAAACTTTGATTTGGTTATCTGGCTTGTGTAAAACTGGACATATGGTTATTTCCATTCTTTTTGACCAAGCGTGTGTTCAGACATGATATCCTTGCTGTGGTTACTCATGAAAATGCCTAAACAATAGAGTGGGCAGGATTCCTTATTGAGCAGCATTGCTACTTGGTCCAAGTTGGGCTTGATCAAGAAGTGGGAATTTAAGTGTTTAAAAGTAGATCTACAGAGAATTTAAGTCTTCTGTCTTGACTTCAATGTTCTTAAGAGGAATTTAAGTACTGAAAGCTTAATTAAACTTCTATTTTTTTCTTTTGTAAAAAGCCATGCATAGGGAAGAGGTTCCACAGAACTTCTTCCTGGGAAGAGCAAGCTGCTAGGGAGCAGCTCTGCAACCAAGTTGAGAGCTGTGATACATCACTGGATGAGTTTATCAGTGTCATGCTGTTAACAAAAATTCATCTTCGCTATGGAATTTGCAGAACCTGGTAGATCTTGTAAATCATGGGAAGTAATCATTTGCTACTTAAAAATGATGTAATCATTTTCTACTTCTTGGTAAGACTCATTTTTCTGTCCTGAGCACTGTTCTTGCAGAAAGAAATTGATTTAAATGCACAGTTCAGGTGAGGAACTATCGGAATTGTTTTGTTCTGTTGTGTTTTAGGTCATAGATTTTACAAATATTTAGTTTTCTCAGAAAACACAATACCTGCAGTAAACATGGAATGGTGTGATGTTGAGGAAATGAGCAGTAACAGATTTCAGCTGACACAAAGGATACAGACTAGGTATTAAAAACTGACAAAGCAGTAYAGTTAGTAAAACACTAGTATAGTCAAGTCATGGAAATTTTGAAGAAATATTTCTGAAAGAGATTAGCATATGAGAATCTAAGACTGTTCTTTCTGTAAMGTCATTTTTCCCCACTTCAAAACAAAAATAGAACAACCACCACAATGTACTTTCTCGTGTTGAACTTTTCCTATAATATATGTTAAATCTTACCAGCCTGAAGATCTTTACTTAAAAGAGTCAATTTTCAAATTAGGGCTATCCACACACTATGCAGTTCTGTGATTATTTTAGTTATTGGTAAGTGAGCAGTAAAATGGTATGAGGGGAACAGACTCCAGGAGCTGCCAACTGGCTCTCCTACCATCAGAAGTTAGACTAAATAGTGACTTCAGTGACCTAGAATGCTTTTAATGCTTGGCCTGGGTTTTGTACTGTTCTTCACATGATGCTTGCTCAGGCTTCAAAGTAAGGTTGATGATATGAATGTAAATACTTCTTAATTAAGTATTTACAAGCAAAGCAGAACTTAAATTGTGACTATGACTTGGGTTAAAGAACAGCCACAGCTAGTTCTAGCCTTTCTCTTTAAAGAGAAAAGATGACAAATACCTACAGAAATAATAAGCAAGTTGACAAAAAAAGAAATCTGTCTACTAATGACTATTTCTGCAATAGTTTATTGAAGACAAATTCAGTTTTCTTTTGGTTAGGATCACCATTCTACTTGAATATCTAAGTGGGAAGTTTAATCCTACAAAACTTGGTACAAAGTGCCAAGATGCCCAAGCACTTTGTTCTCAGTGAGAGCACTTTCAGGGTTGGGTCGATTGGGAGGTTGCTACATCATCTTGTATCTTATTTGATGTTACAAAGTTATTTCTAAGGATGTGTTTACTGCTGCACCAGTTTTGAATCCCAAGATATGTGTAAGTTTTCTTATCCCTTTCAGGAAAAGGAGAAGCTAAGAAGCGGAAAGGAAGACTTGTCATTAATACGGTTGTTTAATATAAAAGCATGTCAATCAGAGCTATTGCAACTTTAAATGAATAACAAAATATTTATGGATGTGCATTTCTATGGATGCAGTTCAAGTTTTAATCAAATGTAGCTGGCCATACAGTTCAACAACTATTCAGCAGAGCTTTCCAGCTTGGCCAGCACAGTTGCTTACGTGCTCTGTCCATCCATGTTTTAACCTCCAAGCATAAGAAATGTATGAAACTTGTGTGATCAATGAAATGTATGAAACTTGTGTAATCAATACTAAATCACTCGGTAGTGTTCAGTAATTGCTGTTGTGAAACAGTGTTCCTTTTCCAAGGAGTAGCTTACACAGAGCAGCTCAGCTGCTGCAGTTTTAGTGATCATGTGGCTTCTATTTTTTTCTTCTCTTCTTGAAGCCAGGAAGAAAGAAGATAGASGAGTTTTCTTTCTTTTTTCTCCAGAGCACTTTCTGGAGTTGCTGCCTGAACTTCCAAAGCTATGGAAAGCCCTCCGATTACAGCTTTCATTAGACTCTTAACAGTTATTTTATTTTTATGCTCCTTTGAACCTATGAAAAAGTGCCAGGGTTGGGCAATATTCCAGAATCTAGGCTTCACCCCTACCTCATTCCCTGCTCTGATTCCTTGGGCAATGACTGTCTATAATCCAGGGTCTTATTCAAAGAGTTGGGGGATGCTCCCTGCCCATGCGAAAGAGAACTTGTACCTTACTGTGGTTTCCAGAGGGTTTCAGTATTTCCTAGAGAATAAAAATACCTGATTTGATAGAGTAGAGCAAGTGCCACAGGGGTATGTGTAATACATACAGCTGAGGCATGAGCTGTGGTAAAGCTGCAGCTGCCTAGAGCACTGCATGGGCAGGAAGCCTAGCAAGTCGGGGTGTGTTTGGGCAAGTTCTGCTGATTGCTGCTTCTACCTCAACTATCTTCTAACTTATGTAGGCATCCTTATTCAGCATGGCTTTGTTTCTTCCCTAGTAAAGGAGAAAAAGGTTTCTTCTGTTTGAATCTAAGATGAACCAAGGAAAAAAATGATAGTTATAGTCAGTTCAGCAATCTCCCCATGAAGTTTGAATTGTCTTACTGATAACGTGATGCCTTGCTGAGCACTCTCACTCGAGTCTAAACAGTCATGGTACCTGCTGGCTTGTGCCAGAAGCATTTTTACTCAGCTTCATCTACAGCTGATTATTATTATTTTTAAGCAAMTAATTGGAACTGCTGTATGGAGATACAAGGCCGTACTGAGCCAGGCAATGTGGTTCTGCACACCACTGCAACCAGACTGTGCAAAAACACTAGGAATCAGCTCTRATGTGTCAGAGTGAGTTCTACAGAAACTTTAGTCCCAGCCCAGCTTTAGCTCTTATCTGGCCTAGGTAGGTCAGACTGCCCCATTTGTGATCTGCTTCCAATTAAGCTCATATAGGCCCTCTCATGTTGTTCTTGAGCAAGACTAACTCTAATGGTCCTGGAGATTCACGTCTGCCCTTCCCCAAGGTCACTGTAGTCTTTCAGTAATTTCATTGCACARTGGAGTCCCAGAGTCACATTTTCCTTCGGACAGATTTGGGGATTCTACTAGTTTCTGGTAGCAGAGGCAAGTCACAGTTTTTTGCCTGCGGAGGCAAATATATAGGCAGAGTCAAAGAGCAGAGGAGCTGTTGTTGGGCCTAGTTTTTCAGACCGTCTGCTTCTAAGGTGAGATCAAGAGCGCCAGTAACTTGCAAGCATGCTCATGAGATTTGAGCTGTAGATGGGAGTGCCAGATAAGTGTCCTAACAGCACCCCCTAGCCTGTGTGTGGTCTTTCTTGAGAAAAGTT